TAATCTCTGACAGAGAAAAGTGTCCCGTTCATTTGATTTGTTTTGACTGGCAGTGAATTCCAATCTTGTAAAAATTTAGATTAATGGATTCTTTTATCTGTACTTTACTTGTGGAGAAAGAGAGTATTGAGAATTTCTACTAGAGATATGCTGACTTGTCCAAAAGGAAAGGGAGTAATTTACAGACAGGGACAACCACAGATTTCAGTCTTTACATGGCAGTGCATTTGCTTCAACTTAAATATATCCTTTAAAATATTACATCAGCTTATGGTACATTGACAGTGACGAATTCCTAAGGCGATAGAATATGTAATGTTTTAAGTCAACTTTTGAAACCGGGGCACAGTGAGCATAACCATAAATGTTGGGTTTTGCATAGTTATTTTTGTTGGCAGATTTCTCACTTTCCTTAGAAAACAAGCTCACGCAGCGGTGGGTCAGATCCCAGCCCCACGTCCTCCTGGAGGCACCTCCATGGGCTCAGGCCTGACGTGGCTACAAAGAGTCTCACTGGGGGTGTTGGCTATTGAAATGATTGGCGGCTGCAGACATCGATTTTAATCAAGACTGCGATATTACTCAAAATGTTCTAAAAAAGTAATTTCCTAGTTTTGTTTCTAAATATCATGTTGAATGTTCCTAGAGGTTAAAATTATGTCAGGGTAGAAATCCAGGATAAAACTACTGTACATCAATGAGTCTCAAAATGCAGGGGAAGTACGAGTGAGGGCATCTCTCGGTGTATCGGCTGGATGCACTTATCTGTCAAAATAAAAACTAGCTGTATTAACTATTGGATGCTTAATGAGTTGATAACAGAAGTATGAACTGTCTTTTATTACTTTGATTTTTCCCTCAGTTCTCAATGTTATGTTCCGCTTTCACTGGCTCAGGTACAGCAATTGTTGAAAAACACCTTTGATAATACTGTGTAAATTGAAATGTGGGAGTTCACACATTCCTTTTAGTTTTATAAATTTCATTACTCTATTGTTTGCTTTCCAGTGGCTGTTGAGGAATTGATATTTACCAATTTTTGAGAACTTATACTTTTACAAATCAAAGTAAAATAAGCTGTATATTTGGCATATGCCATGCGACTTTTGGCAATATGACTAAATATGACTTCTTGGGCATGACTGTCTAAATAGATTAGAATAGTTGGGAGCAGGATAGTTTGATGGACAGATATCCCCGTGTTTCCTTTGATGAAGCCTTTTATGCGTCTGATGCCAAATGTCTTTCTAATGTGTGCTACTGGAGCTGTGCAAGAGAGTGGTGACAGAAAGCCAACGTGCCGGGATACAGTCACCATAAAGCTGTTTTGAGAAGAGGGAAACGTTTTGGACCATATTTTGCTTTTCCTATCTGTGTGTACAATTGAAGAGACCAGAGAGGTGGCTGGCATTCCCCTCAGTAAGCGTCTGTATACCTTAGGTTTTTCGGTGGCACTCCTGTAGGATAACAACAGATCTGAGATCTGAGACAGTCCTTTCAGTCTGCAGAGGAATCACACAAGTTATTTCTCTTTGGTTTTCCGTTTCACACATTACGTTCTTGTTTGATTGTCATGTTGAGTAAACCAGTGGTTGAGTTTTGCCTGGCTGGTGTTAAAATCACCAAGTTTTGCCTAGCGTCAGTCCAAGACTCTAAAGCCCATCAGGCTCAATCAAAACTCGATTCTGTCCACTTGAGAAGGTCACGAATTTTCGTCAGAACTGATCTGTCATTTTTGCATAATGTTACAAAAAGCCTGAATGCTCATAATACTTGAGTATCACTTTTCCTTCTGGTTCAGTTTATGTAAAATAACTTGTGATCTTCTCCCAAATTTTCACAGTATTCTCAGTGGATTATTTTGAATACATGAGCTTCTCAATTTTCATCTAGTGATGTAATTAGGATGTCATGTGGCTGTTTTAGGGCAGTAAAACTATATCCACGCGTGCTCCTGATATAAGATGATTTTCGTTGTTAAACATTTCAAAATCAAAATGCTACTGATCCTTTTAGCTCAGTGTCGGTCTTTGTAGTATAAAGGAGAAAAAAAAAGAGTTAAGATAATCGATGGAAATTTTGTTTTCTTGATGATAGATTCCTCCTTAGAAGATTTTGTTTGCTCAGGAGCCATATACAGATGCTGTGAACTTTAACGGTGCTGTTGACTAGTTCCCCTACCTTCTTGCTACTTGCCAAACCACAGTGCAGACATAAAAAATGGTTTATGCTTCTTTGTCTGAAGGCTCTTCCGTAGGTACCAGAGGTTGTTGAGGCCCACAACACTGTACCACAAAGTAAAAAATGAAATTCTCAGTCCTTTCTTTGTGATTTTTTTAAAAATATTGATTAGCCATATAACTTAAATTTGAAGTGCAGAAAATACATTTTGTCATTATATGCACTTATGATGTAAATGATAAGAGATTAGAAATGACACAAAATATTTTCTTTTATATAGTATGTCTTATCTGTTTGGTGCTAGATAGCCAGTTGTAAAATATTGTTGTTTCAACTTCTAGCTTTTACTGTAGGTTTTAAGATTTTAAAAAAAAAAAAGGCAGCTTAAAAATTAGGAAAAGATACAGAATAGAAAAACTGGAATTAAATAAGTGGATGTAAAAAAACACACAAGCATCAAATAGCGTCAGAAGAAGGGACAGTTAAGAATTCATGGGCTTGTGTATAAAATTAGATTCTGGGTCAGTGCAAGTCAAGAGAATTTAGTCTCAATAAAATCATAGATGCAACCGAAATGACAAGACTTGGAGTAAATGGTTTGTAACCCCTGTCATGGCATTTTGTTGCCTAGGTGTAAAGGCCAGAAAGGGCTGTACTGTGCCCCAATAAAGAGAGAACAAAAGCTACACTTTTAGGTGTAGAACACCTCCAAGAAAGTACTGCCTGCAAAATAACGAAGAAAGTTAATTTCTATGAGAGAAGGTCATGATGAACTCCACCTTTGCTTTACCAGCAGAGTTTTTCTTCATGCAATAAAGTAATGTCTGTAAACTAAAATGAATGGAGTAATATGCAGAAAGGGATATCCTTTTACAAAAGACTTTGAATGCCTTCTAGATGCTACTGCCAATGCAAGTCGCAAGCAAAATGACCCTATAGTTAACGGTAGTAAATTTTCATAGAAAGGTGCCCTGAAGCAAACGAGTATTTCAGCCAGTAAGTCTGATGTTTTGATCTTTCTCTATCAAGTGCTCCACTTTTGGCACGTGCATTCATCTCCAAAGAGCTGCACTCCTTTACTGAAATTAAAAGAATTGAAGAAGTAGGAAAAGCAGCGTGGTGCGGTGTGGCTGAGCCCAGCTGGGCATGGCTTGGAAGGAACGGGGAAAATGAGGGTGACCCCTCCTGTGTACGATCTGGATCATGGGCTTGTGGGGTTAGCTTCATCTGTCCCGGGCCCAGCTGCAACACTACAAGTGCTTTTATGCTAAGAAGGATTTCTTTTTTCTATATAGGCTTCGGCAGAAAGACACATGAATGCCAAATTTGGAATTAATATGATTTATTGCTGTAGGGAAGCATTGTGCTGCAGCACTCGTACGTAAGATGGATGAGACAGGGTCTGCATCTTCTCTAACAAGTGAATTGCTGCTTTCTACGGCTGCGCTTGTCCCATCCGAGAAAAGGTTTCCAGGAGCACAGAAGCACTGCCTCTGCTGGGGGAAGAGTTGAGAAAAGTGAAAGTCACTTGGGCTAAACTTTCCGCAGTGCTGACAGGGGTTTTTGAAAACTGGTTTGGGCTTTTCCACACTTCGTAAGAGAGCACTGGGAAGGCCACACTCAGTTGTGGAAGTACGGTGGACTGTACGCTGGGCTCCCGGCTTGGCTGTTTTGTTCTGTGTCATTTCATTAAGGATCATTGCACCTGCTGCTAATTGCGATCTGGGTTATTAATAATGAAAGAGTTTGCAAAATCTAATTTATTTCTCATGTTTCTGTGTGTTCAAACAAAGGCTGTGGATTAATCAGGTTGCTGAATCAATTTGTGAGCTATTTATTCTCTTCATTTATTAACTGTTTTAAAAATCTTCTTTTCTGTTTAAATCTTCATTCATTGTCTATTGATCCATGTGTGGTTAAAAATAACAAAACCGAGTTGTTCATAGGCAGATCCCAGTTGAGTTTACCTTGGGGGTCTCACTTCTTTTTATTTACAAATGTGGTAAGCGTTGTGCAGAGGTAGAAGAAGACACAGTTTGTGCCCTCGAGAAACAGTAGAAGCAACACCATGCAAGCGCTTGAGTTTGAGACATGAAGTACAAGAAGAATAAAGTCGGTGATTGATACCTAGCTTGTTACTTCCACATGTGCTTGATTGTTGGATTAAAGACAAAAATGTGCAGTTTTGTGTGGTACTTGCGAACGCAGATTTTTAGGAGCGATTAGGGTTGCTGGAACGTTTCTCCAGCATGCTGCAGTGTCGGCACTCGAGACCTGGCAGGGCAGCGTGCTTTGTTTAAAACAACTTTCAAATCCCACTCAGACAGGGTTGCTTTGTACCTACTACTGTTACGAGTAACAGCTGAGAATAATTGAATGTCAGTAAAGGAAGATGCTTTTCTCTCGCCATATATATATATCTCCCTCCCGCCCTGGTTTTGTTTATGTTTTGCATTTGACAGCAGTTTGTGTGTTCTCGGTTGCGGTGTTTTCCCGGTAGCGTCAGTCAGGCTGTTTCCCTGTTGTTTGTGTGGGTATTTCACACCGCATTAAGAGAAGAAATGTTTGAAAATGGGGAAATGCAATTTTTATTCCACAAAAAAAACCCTGCCCACAAGCAGGGGAGCGGTGTAGTCCGGGACAAGTGTGGTAGCTGTAGCTGCATTTGATTTATTAAAAATGCATTTGTAATTCATTAAAAAGCAAGGAAGCAAACTGCAAGTTGACAGCATCAGTTCTGTAAGCCTGTGAAAAGAACTTCACCTGATAATGCTATATGGTCACTGCTAACCACTGAATAACGTTTCAATCTCTTTTAGGACCAGAGTCATGCCCAAGTTTCCCAGTATCGACAGGACCACTCTCTGATTATGAGATCCATTGTCCACATGACTGATGCTGCTCATTCGGGAATTATGCCTCCTTCTCAGCTAACCACCATTAACCAGTCTCAGCTAAGTGCGCAGCTGGGGCTGAATTTAGGAGGCACTAATTTGCCACACACTTCTCCCTCCCCTCCTGCAAGTAAATCAGCCACTCCTTCCCCGTCCAGCTCTATAAATGAAGAAGATGCAGATGAATCAACCAGAGTAAGTTATTCCGTGCACTGCAGCGAATGAGCTTGACATGGCTATGTGCTGTGTTTTTGTCAACGGGGCAGTATCATCTCAGCTGCAATGTGGTCATATAAAATACAAATGTTACAGAATAGGGGAATATACTGTAACGGCATTTACAGTATATACAGCATTTGCTGTTTAGCTTCTTTGCTTAAGAAGTTTCCATAATATCCCCATAATAATAAATGTAAGAATAGACATATATATATATATATTTAGTCTAATACTATCATAATTCATTTCAGATTTTATAGATCTGGTGAATCTCTTTACTCGTCAACTTTGGACAGTTTTGTCATTTTGGTATTCTCTAGAGTCATATAAAATATAGATGCATTTAGATAGAAGTAAAATAAGATTTCTTCTAACTGAAAGTTCAGTTAATTTACATTTTGCTTTAAATAAATCTGTTATAAAAGGAAAATTTTATCCAAAAAAAAATAAAGCACAATTGTTATTATAGCCTTGTATTTAGAAGGCCTACTTTAGACTGTTCCATGACAGGCTTTCTCATTAAGTTAATGGAAACTGTGCATATGGAAAGATCATTGTACAGGATCCTCAAAATATCAAAGCAAAATGACTATCATAGAGGTATATTTCGAGCCACTTTATTGCCTTGCGGCAATAATCTGTGCATAGTTCAACAAAAGAGGGTAGGGGACGGGAGAAGCGCACCGGAACCAGAGTTCCCTGTGATTCGGGGAGCGCTGCTCTGGGATTCCCCCGGGGCCGGAGGGCAGTGTTGGTGCAGGGCGGTCCCTGGCCGTAACGCGGAGCCTCCAGCGCTGCTGCACGGGCACCCAACTGCCCGGGGAGGGAGGTGGGTGGTGGGTGGTGGACACGGAGAGTGTTCGCTGCAGGTGGATAGAAACCGCGGAGTTGCTACTGCTTTTTGCCTGAAGGGTGGGTTTTTCAACCCCTGACCTACGTCTAAGTCTGGGACTCAGGAAATGCCTCCAAGCTCTTTGTCTTGAGTCTCTACTGCCAAAATCACATCTTAATGGAAGAACATAGATTGCCTATTCAAAATATACTGTACATTTAATCTTAATTTTTTAAAATACAAATTAGCGTTGGGGTGTACTTTTTTAGGTCAAGCTCGTAGGGTTGACTCTCTAAGCCATGCTTACAACGAATAGTAATTTTTCATGCATTTATTTTCAGTAGATCTGATGAGATTAAGCTGAGACTAAGTACTATTTGGTAGGAGAAAGGCTTGCACAACAGGACTTTCCAAAATGTTGCCTATATAGTAGCTTTATCCATGTATTATTAAGTCAGACTGTTAATAATTTTTGGACTTAATCTGGTTTATTTCATGCATATATTCACTGTTCTTGTTATTACTGTTTCTCAGGCTACTGGGGAAAAAAGAGCTGCCCCGGATTCTGGCAAGAAGCCCAAGACTCCAAAGAAGAAGAAAAAGAAAGATCCCAATGAGCCACAAAAGCCGGTGTCAGCATATGCCCTTTTCTTCAGGGATACACAAGCTGCAATTAAAGGGCAGAACCCAAATGCGACATTTGGAGAGGTTTCAAAAATAGTGGCATCTATGTGGGACAGTCTAGGAGAAGAACAAAAACAGGTAAAAAATTGATGCAGAGTTGTCTGACAAGAAGTAAAACAGTAATCCTTGTAAAAAAAATCCTTCTATCTCTACTCTGAGTGGACCACGTTCCTTGCTGATGTAGACCTCTTGCTGTGTAGAGCCACATTGATTTTTGAACTTGCTGAAGACCTGGCATCTAAAAAGCATTTTGTTATAAGAGCCAGCAGGTAGTATTAAATGGCTGTATTTGTCTTTAAATTTTAAAGGGCAGTTTGTAAAAAAGCTCAGGTGATATTGTCCTAGAGCCCTGTTAAGACTATCTTTTGATGATTCCTATTTCAAAGCTCTTGTTTCCTATTAATCAGAAGTTAGAAGAGAAAAGGGGAAGGTACAGCACATTTACCATTTCCCTTTGATCTGCCTTATGAATTTGTTACAAAGCGTGTTGATTTCCAACCTTTGAAGCCAATCCTCTGTGCCTCGTTACACTGTCGTGTGTGAAATGTTATCTCCAGCTCAAACTTGGTACAGAATGATGAGTTTTGTTCTTCCTTGAGGGTTGTTATTCTTTCTATACACATGTAACTCCTACACACGGATTGAAGGAAAAAAAATAAATAATCCTCTGAGGCTGTTTGCCTGTTGATACTCCGTGCAGCTCCCAGTGACAGTGAATGGAAGCTGCGATGGAAGAGTAGATTCCCGTATAGGACACCTTCTGGCAAGATATGAATGATTCTTGTTTGTGAAATACATTTGGAAACTTTTAGTCTCATCTAACAGATGATGGTGAACATGATTTAAAAGTGAACTTTAAATTTACTGGTGATTAAAAATACAGATTAATTCATTTTTGCCTAGCCTTGTTTAACTCAATGGGATTCTCTCGTACTGGGTTTGGGGAAAGTGAGTTGTCCAAGCTCTGTGAACCACCTTGTCTAAAGGCATAAATATTTTTTTATACATAGTTTGAATATTTGTTTAAAAAAAATTGCCTAGGCGTATTTTTGCTATTTTGTACTACTTCAGATACTTTTTAACATCTGAAATACTCAGTGTTCTATTGTCCCTGTTACTTAGAGTCATTAAAACATCATTTCCTGGGGAGGTAAAGTGTGCATAGGGAGTCTTGTCAAACAGTTGGCTGCTCTAGCAGCTTTTTTTATTCACGATAAATCAACATAAATTGTGGTGCACGTCCAGCGAGGAGACCTGAAAGTCTGTAACCACTTGCAAGAATATTTAGATCTTTCAGGGAAGAAAAAGCACATAGAACAGTAGTGTTTTCAGGTTTTTTTGGTCTGTGTGTTTTTTGTTTCTTTGCGAGTGATTTTGAGAGCATTCTGGCAAAAACATCTTTAATAATTGAAGTTGGTGAAATTGTGGTCTCTTTTAATAGGTATATAAAAGAAAAACTGAAGCTGCCAAAAAAGAATACCTGAAGGCACTTGCTGCCTACAGAGCCAGCCTTGTTTCGAAGGTAAGCCCTAATAATGCCTTCAGTGTGATGCAGGTTAGCTTTTGGCAATGGTGTTTATATATTGGGGGGGTATGCAAAATAAAAGTAGAATCCTAGGATTTCTGTAATACAGCTCTACGAGGTGTTGTGCTGCTGCTTGAACCCTGCTTAGTCTCTGCGAACAAGAAAATTCATCTCCCCGATGGCACAGTAATGATTACCAAACAATAATTTCGTAAATGTACATCTTCCATTATCCAGGGAGGCAAAATAACATGCTTCGCTACAAAAGTAAAACTCAGTCATGAAAAATATACTGACCTTTTGACACTAACGTTTGCAAGCTATTTGCAGAGTTTTGTTTTTCCTTAAGTGCTACTTCTCGAAAGACAGACTTGCTTTGCGTGGAGCTGGAGAGCAGTTATTGTGTGACAAAGCTTAAGTATTTCTTGCAGGTGAGGGGAAAAAAAAAGGCATCGTGGCTCTGAATTTGGAGAGTGTTTACAAATGGACTAGCTGGCAGTGAGCCACGTGGAGTATTTTAGCGGATCCCGAGTTAAAATAAAACTCATGAAGAAAACAAAGCTGTGCTGTCTTATTTGAGAATTTACCTTTTAACCGTCAGCACTGCACTGGTTGTAGATCTGTTGCATCTAAATAATATAAAAAGAAATATGCTTATGGCCATCTAAAATATGGGTAAAAATTAATCAAGGTGATTATTTCTCTCATAATATTTCATAAAGATCAATTATGAAAGTATCTTCCATCACAACAAAGCAAGAGAAGAAAGTGATGTTATCTAACTCCTGAGAATATTTATTTGAATATACATCTGCAGAGCATTAGTAAATCACACAGAAAGTTGCTGTGTATTTTAATTAGAGATTAAAAATACAAGAGTAGAAATTACACAGGCGTTCTTGAAAGCTGGAAGATTTTTTCTTGTGTTGAGAAGCTGTGTTGTTCTGTTGACTCTAGGACTTAGATGATATTCTCAAAGCCTTTAGTATCACAGGGCTAAGTTCGATGGCAGCTGGAATTCTAAATACCTTTGAGGGAATTTATTTTGTGGGTTCTAAGTTCCCTTTTCAAAAACATCAGAAATCGTATTTTCTCCCCAAATCCATGGGACCTGGACTGCCGAGTAACCCGTGGGAACACTGCGAGTGGAACTTACACTCTAAGTCCAGTATTCATCTCATCTGCACTAACTTAAGACATCCATGCTGTAGCTTTTTCATCCGAGGGGGTTGCTGAGAGTAGGGATGGAATAGACACTTCTGCAGCACAATTTGACACATTCTAAGGTAAATGTCTAAAACATGTCAGTTAATTGTGCTGGAGAAGACTTTTTATTTTTGTTGTCTTTATATAGGGATTCTAGGCGACTATTCTACATGTCACGTACAATGCAGATGCTTAGAACTATGAAAGCTGAATTCTACCTTCGGTGCTTAAATATATCTAATTTAAGCATACATAATATTTATAAATGTATCTAAAAAACTATGCCTTCAAAGGCACCAGAATGCCTCGTTTATTGCAATAGGCCTCTTCGGACTGTAGTTTTCTGACAAGTTTGCCTTGTCAGAAACCCGCATGACCCTGAAGCAGGCAGGATTCCCTGAGCAGGGCACCCCCTGACGCAGCTGGACCCCTTCCAGGGAATTCAGCTGGGTGCTGTGACAACGTTCCCTGGGACCTTAGTGTGCTGTAGATACCTGGGACTTGATGCCTTAGATGCGAAGAACTGCAAAAAAACCCAAGTTAAAATAGTTGTCTGAGAAATTTCATTGTTTGTGCACTACTCTTCTGCCATGATAACTGGTACTGGGGGGATATGCTTCTGCTCAGATTTGTCTCCCAGAGAACAGGGTGTTTTTTTTAAAAAACATAGGCATAGAAAGCGTTGGGCCTTTATAGCTCTTTCAACCACAAAATGTACGTGACATCTGTGGCTTTCTGGTGGCGAACAGGGGCACGAGTTAGTTTGTTGTCCAAGTAAGAACAGGAGGTACCGTATACAGAGACAGATGAAGAGGTGATGTGGTGGATCGGGGGATCAGTGATCTTTTTCAGATTGCTGATTGACCTTTTCTGATAGAAAACAAAAGATGAAAAAGTCTCCCGGAGTAGCTGTGACTTTTATTTCCACGTAAACAGCAACAATGTTTTTTCTGTTGAAAATATGACAAATTTCTTTTCCAAACACAGGCTGCTGCAGAATCTGCTGAGGCGCAGACAATTCGTTCTGTTCAGCAAACGTTGGCATCCACAAATTTGTCTTCCTCCCTTATTCTGAATACTTCTCTTTCTCAACACGCAACAGTGTCGGCATCTCCTCAAACTCTTCAACAGTCCCTTCCCAGAGCAATCGCTCCAAAACCTTTAACCATGAGACTGCCGATGAATCAGATTGTAGCTTCTGTTACCATTGCACCAAACATGCCAACAAACATTGCCGCTCCCTTGATAAGCTCTATGGGGACAAATATGGTGGCGACACCATCTTCCTCTCAAGTCAGTCCCTCCATGCAAAGCCAGCAGCACCAGATACAGCAGCTCCAGCAGCAGCAGATGCAGCAGATGCAACAGCAGCAGCTACATCAGCATCAGATGCATCAGCAAATACAACAACAGATGCAACAGCAGCATTTCCAGCACCACATGCAACAACATTTGCAGCAGCAGCAGCAGCATCTTCAGCAGCAAATTAATCAACAGCAAATGCAACAGCAACTGCAGCACATGCAGCTTCAGCAGATGCAGCAGCAGCAAATGCAGCATATGCAACACCAGTCCCAGCCTTCTCCTCAGCAGCACTCCCCGGTAGCCTCTCAGATCACTTCTCCCATCCCCGCCATGGGGAGCCCCCAGCCAGCACCCCAGCAGCACCAGTCACAAATACAATCTCAGACACAGACTCAAGTATTGTCGCAGGTCAGTATTTTCTGAAGATAAATGATCTTGCACCATGGCTGTGTGTTGATGGAGGGGGTAGGGGTAAACCATATTTGGCTGGAAACTGTAAATTGTGTATGGTAGTTATGCAGGGATGCATAACAGATCAAATGATCCTCTAAAGTGTCTATTAGATAGGCAATAAAGAACTACAATGTAGCTGTGTATCATCTTTTAGCCGACTATAAATCATTTTGTTTTAAAAAAAAAAAAAAAAAAAAGCTGTGCTCTTTTTCATGTGATGCCTTTTTAATTTATTTAAGCTTTACCTACGATATGTGAATCAAATGGCCTAATAAATACCTGGACCTTATGACTGCAAAATGGCCTTTCAGAGTTATATGATATAACCCTTCTTTCTCTAAAAGTGAATAATGCACTTCAAGGCAGTATGAACTCATGAAGCCCTTAAAGCACAGTTGTAACTACCTGTAAAACGATGATTGGATTTCATACAATCATACTTGTATGACATGAGTTAGTTGATGGCATTTTTTGTCATGAAAAAATAGAGTAAATCACAGATTTTTGCCAAAGCTCTTCATTTTTTTCTCTCCTAAATGTCTTCAGAAAAACAAATGCAAGCAACTGAACTTAAAGGTTTGACCCAACTGTTGTGGTTTGGGCGGGTTGGTACCTCAAACCGGGACACCCAGCTTTTCACTTCATTTCTCCAAATAAACCTACCATAGTTTGTAAGAAAATATATATTGACATTTACCCTCTTACGTTAATTCCAGTTACAGAACAAATGTGAATATTATATTCTGTGTCGAAGTGATGAGTTTCAGATTTAATACACTGTATTTTTAAAAGGGAAATGCACTTAAATAAAACTGTTATTACAGAAAGCTAAGATGAAAAATGCAAGAGTTTTTAATACGCTGTAAAACCAGTAGAATATTTAAATGAAACTCCACAACCGAATAATCAATGTAAATATTTTCTTTAAAAGTTGTAAGTTTTCATATCATGTGTTGTAAAGTTTTCATAAATGAGGCTTTAATGTAAACACTGGTAACATGAATTATTAATTGCTACATTGCTTATTGTGTTTTTATGCTGTTTTATACTTTTTTATGAGTTATGATAGCAGCAATTAAGTTGTTTGTATTTTGCTTATCTAAAATAAATGCTTTTATCTTGCTATAGAATAAACACATTTCAGTAAAACTGATGGGCATAAGTCTTTGAGAGAAAAGCCAGCAATGTTTCCTTATGAAAACACTTTCTTGGGAAATTTATTTAACTTTTTTGGATTTTTATTTTATCAAACATACTGGGTAGATAGGTACCGATGGGAACCGAGTGTGTGATCAGCTCTTGTACCCGTAAAGATGCGCTGCTGAAGAGTCGCGTACGACTTCTCTGAGGTTTCTACGCCTTACTTCAGGGAGAGAGCGCAGGTGGTGGAGTTACAAAGCGTTCGCGGGACCCTGCGTTACATTTACCCTCAGGAACGGGACAGCGAACCTGTCTCTCAGCAGTAGTGTTCCGAGGTGCAAATAAGCACAAATTGTGGTTTTCTTTGTATCTTGGAGTTTCAGATGTAAGCGCCGCTATTGCCGTGGGCTTCGCGTCCACAAGCCCCCGACTCTGACGCAGGCTGATCCCGAGTTGTCTGACTTTTATTTTATTGTAAAAGTAGGACACGATAGAGGGGGGGTTTGAGAGGGCAGGTATTTCCCACAAAGGATTCGGAAACGTTTCATCCAATACGCTGTCAGGTTATTGGTGGTGTTCATATATTTTTACTCTTGACGGAGAGGAGAAATCCTTTATTTTCTTCTTTCCCTTCTTTGCCTGCAGTAGCTGTGCTGCGAGTGCAGCCTGACCACTATCCCCAGTTGTCTTGCATGATTAATTACAGCATCTGTCCTGTCAGAAGCTATAATGAAGAGGTCTTGATAAAAATTGCAAATTACCACTGGCAACAATCTTAAACTGCTTATGATAAAATGAAAATTAAAAACAGCAAGTGTCAAACCTGAGCAGAATCCTAATCCTGTTTGAGGCGGTGTCCATGGCTACCAGGCGCAGGCCACAACCGAAAAATAATGGAATATAGATCCCCAAAAAGTTGCAGCCAGACTTGGGGGAAGAGGCACGGTACCGTGTGAGTTTATTAATAATGAATTCAGCTTTCAATATTTCATCATCCTCAGGTACTCTGTTTATTATGTACAAATATTGAACAGCGAGAGATTCTAATTATAAATTTATAGATTTCTTGGAGCAGAAAAAATCATGTGTAAATCGAAGCTTTTCATAATAGGTGTTAGTTGACAGCTACCCATGCTCCTAATAGCCTTAGTATGATATCTAATGGTGCCTGGGAGGGCGGATGTTTATTGCAGGCGGGAGGAAGCCCGCCTGCCTTGGAACGGGCACGGTGGAGGCTGCTCGGGAGGGATTTTAGTGTGCGCCGGTTTTAACCAATGTTACATAACAAAGGGAACCATTTTATCGTCATTTTGAAACCTTTAGACAAATGTCTTCAGAAATAATTGCTAAACTGCATGTGACAGTAATTGTGTATTAGTTCTATAATTGTCATTTTGAAGACCTATGAAGTATCGTTGGAAAAATGTCACTAGTGATAAGAGTTAATTACAACTGAAGTCTGTTTTCAACTATTTGCAGCGAGAAGCAGGTGTTATTACACTCATTAAATGATTTCATAAATCCTGGGGTTTATCACATTTGATTAAGAGCTGCTGAACTACTGATGGTCAATTCCAGGAAAAATAGTTTTAATTACTGCAGCTAAACAAAATTAATCATCGAGCAGGACTGTACGTTTTAAATATCAAAATTTGAATCTTGAAAAACTGGAGCATCCCTCTGCTCGCTACAAAATTATATTTTGCGTTACCCACAATAGCATATTGCAGAACATCTTGTGTTTCAAACTGTGCAAGTCGGTGTTCGTATTCCCTAAGTCTAAGTGAATAACTTTGCTATCATAGGTCATAAATAAAACTGTTAATTTAAATCGCTTAATATGCAATTTATACAGGAAAAATGCAGTATCCGTATGATTTCAGTGTCAGGCACGGTTTAAAGAATGTTTTCCTTCATATCGTTTACAAGCACTTAACTGCTCCCTTCTTTTCCCAAGGTTTCAGATGCTTTATCACCCCGGTTAACCACGTTCTACTTTCACATTAACCCAGGTTGACACATGATGAAAGAACATAAGGAGGTTTAATTTTTAGCTGACACAGGGTCATTAGTTTCTAACTTGGAGAACAAAGGCTTTAAATACCTCTGTGCAACATAATCTCAATTTTATATTATCACCTGACCATTGTGGTCGGCAGGACAGATGGATTAAATATCTCAAGTTTAACCAGCAGTCTTGCACTGACTCTTTTCAATGGGGATTGGCTATTTGAATGGCTCCTTTTCCATTTCTCACTTCATGGAGTGTTTTGCAGCACTGGACTTCATTCTAACCTTTCCCTCCCCCCTTTGTTTGGCTTTTGTTTTGCAACAGCTGTTATTATCGTTTTTGGTCAGCTGTGATTGCTGGAGGCAAAATAGGACCAGATGGTGTTTTGCTATGCATGAATGGCGAGTTAGAGGAGTTTAGATTGAATAGGCCAAGTTTGAATGGTGTCTATGCACCACCTGCCCTCTTCAGCAGCAGCATACACATCATAGGAGCATGATCTGTCTCAGACCTACTAGAATTGGATGGGAATGGAGAGCGCCTCGTTGGATTTTCTCCATATTTATTGATCTTCCATGCACTAACAGCATAATGCAGTACACAGTCAATTTGAGTTAATTGGATATGACACAGCATGTACATGTAATCTATCACTGTAGTCTCCTGGTACACTTTAGGTTTTGCTGCCGCAAGAACACGCAGTATTAGCCTGCATTGATAGGCTAAGTGGATGGAAGCAAAACAGGATCATTGCGGGGCTCGATTTAACAAAATACACTGTAGTCTTAAACTGATACCCTTGAAACAGCCAGAGATGTAGTTAAATATGAACGTTTCGGCTTTGATAGACTGGACTGAGTCTTTTGGCACGGAACAAAACAAACCTCGTTCCCGTACTTTTCTGAGAGGGCTGCCAGTGAAACTGAAATGAACAGTTGACTAAAAGTAGGCAGCAGCGTCAGTAGTGATGAGCCGGAGCCGTTTGCGAAGGGGCGTGGGTCTATGTGGAGGAATCTACTTCCCAGCAGAAGGGATATTATATTCAGTAAATTCTGATTTCCAGCCCTTAAAGCACAGAAATTAAAAGTAGGCATCCAAATTGGGTTTAGAGTAGCAAAGGGCTGCTTTGGTATCCCAAAACTGGTCATGGAGGTAGAATTTAAATGTTAGAGAAATTTAAGATCTGTTGTACCCTCCAGTAAGGTTGACTGAAAGACATCGGGTATACAGGCGTTGTGTCTGGACGTTACGGAATAAAATACATGTGCTAAAACTAATGAATAAAGTACATAGCGATAACATATTATACGTAAATCGCGTGAATCCTCCCAGCAGTGGGACGTTTAAAAGCCTACTTACGTATGTAACGGGGGCTTGCCATCAGCCTCTGCCTAAGTTGGCAGGAGCTGCTCGCTCGCTGTCTTTGTCTGGGGTGTCAGGTAGCCGAGTGAGCTACTTTATTATGAAAATTGCATTCAGCTGAAAAAATGCTAAATATTTTCAAGTGCCTGTGGGAAAAGCTAGGTTTGTATTAAAGGATTTGGTTCTTAAAGTCACCAAGAAGCTAATGCTTCTCAGGTGCATCTGAGGGAGAGAATTTTTGATTATAATACTAAAATCTTTCAGAAGAGAATGTATTGCTTTGAATGAGCTGTTCTGACGCTTCAATAGGCTACGCTGGAGATTTATAATGTACTCTGTTTATCTCAGTTAAAAAACCAGAAGTGGTATTTTAAATAGTGGGGTTTTTCCAAATTCTCAGAGCATTAACATCTTCAGCCCCTACACAAACCGACGTAGTGCAGTTTTGTTATGAGGTTTGAAATGAAATAGAATTTAATCTTTTAGGTAAAAAAAAAAGTTGAACTGATGATTATACTTGATGTGGTGTAGCTGTACGGGCGCTCCCTACAGGTATCATTTATTCTCTTTCCCCTCTGGGAATATCTTTATTGATACAGCCACCTTTGGTCTGTTATTTTCTCCGATCTGGAGTTGTTACATTACTTTAACTCTGCTGCTCTAATTGAAACAGAAAGGCTTTGATCCAGCAAATGACTTAAAATGAGTGGATAATTCACGTATATAAGTAGTAATTTCATTAAAGTGACTACTCGTATGTTTCGTTATACAGTTGCTCAAGTGCTTTCACAGACCAGGGGTCTAATTGCAAAACATTGTATTTGTTTTCCAAACAATTCCAAATAGTGATAATAAGAATACTCAGAACCTAAAAGCAACATAACCTGACTTACATATGCTGCATTTCCTTTTATTAAATTCTATTCTAAATAAGTCGCAGGTCTGATTTTCAAGTACAGGTATCTAACCTTTGTGCTGGTTCAGTGACTGTGCATCATCACAAACGTGTAAAGAATTAACCAGGTGACCGGTGATTTGTATACTCAGTCATTCGGATGGGTTTCTGCTGCGCACAGGTCTGAAAACCTGTCCCTGGATCAGCAGTCACGGCTCTTGATTGAGCAGATGCCTTCACCAAATATTTGTATTTACAAAACTGAGAAGTAAATGCAGGCAGGCAAAGCACCATTATACCTACTGGCAATATTTATAAAACCTAAAGGGTACAGTTACTGCAGGCTGGTTTATTTTTAATGCTATATCCCATAGTGTACTGATAATAAACATACACATTGCATTAGCATAAAGTACATAAATAATAAAGCCCATGCGTTACACTTCTCTCACTGGTGGTTATAGGTGTTCCTAATTTTGGAAATGCTGAAACTCATAGGTCACTTTTGAAAATTCTGCCTTGTTAGCTGTTGATCAGAGGATTCTCCCTGCTGCACCCATGTATGCGTGTGTGTGTGTGTGTACGTAAGTGGGTAGCAGTGAGCAACCCATGTATATGCTCTGTCCTTAACGCGAGAGTCCATTTCTCTGTGTGCCCTTACCCCACCGGTACTGAGTGTTTTGCTATTGCCTTCAGTGAGACGCGGCCACAGCTGTGGAGCTGCACTATGGCATCAA